ATACACATGTGACATTATCGTGACATACAAACTCGCCTGGGTCACACAATTGTTGCTCTGAAAGTAGAAGATAAAAATAAGAAACACTTTAATTAAAAAAAATCATGTAGTAGAGCTTAAACAGTGAGTGTGAAGGCATGAAAAGCGAGGAAAATCAATGGCTAGTACTGTTCTAATTTAGCCAGTATTGATAAATAATGTTAACAATCAGCAATAAAAAAAAAAAATAAAAATAAAATGCAAAGTGCAAGTGTGTAACAATAGCCAGTACAGACCAAGCTATGGGCCCCAGCACTGTTTGGCTACATAGTGATTAAGGCAGGTAGAAATAGCTATTAAAAATATTTTGGTTAAATTAACCACTTGAGAAGGATTTAGCCCCCCCCCCCCCCCCATTCCTGACCAGGACATTTTATGTGATATGGCGTTACTTTAACTGACAATTACGGTATCGTGCAATGCTGTACTCAAATTAAATTTATGTCCTTTTTTCCCCCACAAATAGAGCTTTCTTTCGTTGGTATTTGATCACCTGTGTGGGTTTTTATTTTTTGCGGTATAAAAAAAAAAGCCTGACAAAAAAAAAAAAAAAAAAAAATATATATATATATATATATATATATATATATATAAAATAATATTTTTTTTTTTTTTTTTTTTTACTTTTTGCTATTATACATGTCCAGTAAAAAAAAATGTTAAAAAATCTAATTTCTTCATAACTTTAAGCCAAAATGTATTTTGCTACATGTCTTTGCTAAAAAAAAAATCTCAATACGTGTAAATTAATTGGTTTATGTTAAAGTTCTACAAATGGCGGTATATAAACTAGAATTTTTTTTTATATTAGTAATGGCGTTAACCAGCGACTTATAGCGGGACTGCGGCGGACATTCTGACACTGGGGGGGGACTGACTAACTGCCACTGACATCCCAATGATACTAATACAGGGATCAGTGCTAACAAAAAGCACTGACACTGTATTATTGACACTGGGCAGGAAAGAGTTAAAATCTGGGGCAAAGGGTTAACTGTGTTGTTTTACTATGTGTGCGTTTTACTAAGGAAACATACTGCTGTGCAGGGGCGGACTGACCATTTGGAAACTCGGGCACTGCCCGAGGGCCCGGGGGCATTAGAGGGCCCCATGAGATACCCCTGGTACCTTTTTCATAGGCTTTTTTGAGTTAGGGCAAGGACACAGGGGTCCCATGATCCCCTATTGCCCGGGGGGCCCCATGAGTTGTCAGTCCACCCCTGCTGCTGTGTAATTCTGTGCAGAGAAATACACAGCAGCATGTTACTGCTGGCAGGAAAGAGACCTATGTTTACACACAGGTCTCTCCTCCGTCAGTAACACTCAGCGATCGCCAGGGAATCTCTGGCCAGGACCCAGTGATCGACATCTTTAGCTGCCAATAGCGGCTCAGGTAGGGCAGTGGGTGAGCGCTCCCCCCTATATGGAAATGCAAAAATCACATCTACATACATACACACACACACGTGATTTTGCACAGCCCTGCCACCCTGTAGCAGTAGCTCTGCTATAGGGCGGTCGGGAAGTGGTTAATGTAGATATAGTTTGGAAACACTTCATATTATTATAGAGAAAGCCATTAGTATTCTATATCACTATAGGAGTTATGAATGGGCTCAAATTGCAGCGCACTGAATCTCATGTGAATTGCACAGGAATACGGTACACATTCCTGTGCGATTCATATCTAATTTATATGGTGTGAATCGAGGCTTAAAGAAAGTTAAGCTACTAAACTACTGAGAGTATGAAAATCTTTAGGAATGCTATTTTTTTACTGCAATCTTTCTTTATTAGGGCAGGAATATAAGAAAGAACATTATCATATGTAAAACTGTATATGTAATAATATTTAATTCAAGTAATAGACATTAAAAGAAATCATGCTTATAGGTACACTATGTAGAAGGGTGGGACATCCCTCTCTCCAAGCAAGATTTAACAGAGATTAAATTTACAAATACTCTGTATTAAGATTGTGTGGCACTGCTGGGTCTAGGCTCAAATTTTGCACAGACACACATACACAGAGGCATCACAACACAAAAAAAAATGTTATTACAAGAACATAACTTTTTTTACATTATGATTTTATATTATAGTTTTTATCAAATCTTGAGTGCTTCTCATCCTTAAGGGCTCGTTTACACTTGACTTTATTTCTAATTCTTGCCAAACGCCCCTATAGGGTTAGACAGGCGCTTGGGAAGTGTTTTTAGCGCCGCAATACTTCCCATTTAAAGTAGAACTAAAAAGACAAAACTTTATTTTTTTAGTTTTGGACAGAGTGGAGATGGATTAGAACATTATTTCGGTCTTTACTGTGTCCCCGCTAACCACTACAAGGCTACCTTCCTCTGCAAAATCAAGTATATAAATAGGATTCTGCACTTCCGCCTAGGGAGTGCACATGCACGCCGCCGGTGGACAAATTTGGCTGTGATTTTTCACAGCAAAAATCGATCTGTGGGTGCCAGCCAGTGAAAGTCCGCTGGCACCCACAGATCATCAAAAACACAGAATGGAGCTCAGCCTATGTAAACAAGGCAGAGCTCCATTCTAACAGGGGAAAAGTGATGGATGTTGTGTCCCTGCAAAGCAGGGAATATGATCCATCACGTACCTTAGTAAAAGTAGCACACATTGTACACAAAACACATAGCTAGGCACACGGTTAACCCTTTGATTGCCCTAGATGTTTAACCCCTTCTCAGCCAGTGTCATTAGTGCAGTGTCAGTGCATATTTTCAGCACTGATCATTATATTAGTGTCACTGGTTCCCACAAAGTCTCAGTGTAAAATTGTTCGGTGCAATATTGCAGTCCTTTCATAAGTCGCTGATTGTTGCCAGTACTAGTATAAAAAAAAAAAAATTCTAGTATATATCCCATAGTCTATAGACACTATAACTTTTGCACAAACCAATCAATAATATACACTTATTGATACTTATTTTATAGCAGAAATTAAAAAAAAAATTATATTAGATTATATATATATATATATATATATATATATATTATATATATATATTTATTTTTTTTTTTTTTATTTTCTTTTTACATTGTCAGTCTATTTTGTTTATAGTGCACAAAATAAGAAATGCAGTGGTGATCAAACACCACCAAAAGAAAGCTCTATTTGTGGGAAAAAATTACATAAATTTAATTTACAGTGTTGCATGACTGCTCAATTGCCAGTTAAAGTAATGCATTGCTGTATCACAAAAAATGGCCTGGTCACTTTGTCCTGTTTACCATGATCATTGAAAGTGAAAGAAAATTCCAAATTTTGGGTTGTCTCCAGAACTGTAATAGGAGGGGAAATCTTCCAATGGGAACAACAGTTCCACTGACCTGGGGGGCCCAATGAGTTCCCTTAATTTGCAGGGATTTCATCTCACTACCTGTTTTGGCTATGGAGCAGGAAGTGAAGATAAATATCCCCAATGAGACACAGATAACATAAAAAAAACCAAACACATACGGGGTTATAGCCCTCCCTTACTCTATCCAAAATTAGAAAAGTTTTACCTATAATTCTACTTTAAGGTATTCCTTCAGGTTTATGAAGTACCAAAAAATCATATTTGTCTATCACCAAGCCATAAATTCCCCTTCTGATGGAGAGGTTAAAACAATGTTCTCAGCAGGAAGGGAAAAAGAAAAAAAATGATACATTATCTCCACTTTATACATAACAAGTTTCAGAGAAATGTTCTTAAATTGCGTGGATCAGGTCAAGACAGAATGACCTTGAATTTTATTTTTGTAATTTTCTTAACAAGAGTAAGAGCTTCGACATCAGCGAAAAGGCCCATGGACTGGAAAAAGACAATTCTTTAAAGGAAGTGATATGTTTGACTGAATATTTTTTTTCTGCATTTTGCTTCTCATATTTCAGTAAAAACATAATAAAGCCATTGCAAGAAAATATACTTTAAAATGCATTTCAAGGTCGTTATTTAATAAAGTAATCATAACCCGCAGCCCAAGTATAAAAATACTGAGCTCATAGAATTTGCGATGGGAATTGAGAGTGAAGTGTTCCTCAAAATGCGGTTTTGTGAGGTGACGGATGGAGTGATGTCGAGTGAAAGGATCACAAATGTTCAACTAAACCCTCGTAAAACTACCAAACAGAAAATTATTTTCAAGATTTAAAGTGTCCTTGCGTTGGCAACATATAGAAAGTGTATCCACAAATCTCTTTTATCGTGTCCTAAGAGGAGCCCATTGCAAACTGAATCCATTGACTGCTACAAAGTAACTACAATAGAAAGTGTGTGAGACATGCATCAGGTGAATGGAGAAAGGGAAAAGTCAAACTTCTGTAGTAAAACAAACTTGTCTGCCTGATCAAAATCTTTTACTGAATGTATGCTGAGCTGCCCATGCGCAGGTCAGCATGAAGTCTTAGCAAGGTGCCAGTGTGCTGGGATAAATGGCTCCCATGTGCAGGAGTTACATCATCCCCACAGGCCAGCCAAGACAGTGAAATTCTGACACCCAATGGTGACACTCAATGGTCACATCACTGGATCAGAGGTGAGTTTCTGCAGATTTTTGTTCCGCTATAACAGGAGGTTATAGAATCAGTTCACCTTTGCCAAAAAACTGCCCATGTAGGTAAGGGGCATCTGTAGAAAAAAAAAAAAAATGCACAGCTTTGATTAACCACTAGCCTACAGGGCACTTATACCCCCTTCCTGCCCAGGCCAATTTCCAGCTTTCAGCGCTGTCACACTTTGAATGACAATTGCGCGGTCAAACAACATTGTACCCATATGATATTTTTATCATTTTTTTTGTGACAGATAGAGCTTTATTTTGGTGGTATTTAAATCACCTCTGGGTTTTTTATTTTTTCTTAAACAAACCAAAAACCACTGAAAATTTTGACAAAAAATGTTTTCTTAGTTTTTGTTATAAAATTTTGTAAATAAGTGATTTTTCTCGTTCACTGATGTGCGCTAATGAAGCTGCACTGATAGGCTGCACTGATGGACACTGATGAGGAGGCACTGGTAGGTGGCACTGATGGGCATTGACAGGCATCACTGATGGGCACTGAAAGGCAGCATTGATACATGTCACTGATATATGGCACTGAGGCAGCACTGACAGGCAGCACTGACAGGCAGCTCAGATGGGCACTGATATGTGGCATTGATGTGCACTAGTAGGCACTGATGTGGCACTGGCACGAGGCACTGACATAAGGCACTGATGGGCACTGGCAGGTGGCATGGATGAGCACTGATGGACACTGACAGGTGGCACTGCTGAGGCTACACTGATCATCAGGGCACATGGATCATCAGTGCTCCGATGATCAGTGCACATGTCCCCTCCACGGAAAGCCGATTACCAGCTCTCCTCTCCTCATCTGTCAGCGTGACAGCTCGAGAGGAGAGAAATGCTAACCGGCATTTCCCTGTTTACATGTGATCAGCTGTGATTGGACACAGCTAATCACATGACCAAGCCAACATCTACGGCTCTTTCCGTGTTCGGTGATCCGCTGTGTTCGAGGGACACAGCGCACCGATCGCCACGCTGCGTGCTCCCTGAGCGGCGCATGCGCAGTGAGAATGGGAGGACGTCAAATGACATCCTCCCAGAACGAGAGAACCACCTTGCGCCCGTCATTACTATATGGCGAGCGGGAGGTGGTTAAAGTTGATTAACCCTATTCCGATAAATGGCCAGACGAGAGTGGTGCCGTTGCGGGAGGACGTTTCTTAACATTCCCCCCCCCCCCCCCCCCATCCATTGCCTGTGCATGCTCCCTGGGAGCACACAGCGCCACAATCTACATCCACCAGACACAGTGGAACACAAATCAATATACAGGATCGCTGTGTGATCAGTGATTGGCCAAGCAGTGATCACATGAACAGTAGTAAACAAAATGTCACTTCCTGGCATGATTGTTTACCACTTGTAAGTTCTGTGAATGATCACAGAGGTTGAATGGTATAAGGCCATTCACAACAGCCTTGTACCATGTGATTAGCTGCGACCAATTACAGCTCTCACAGTATTTCTCAATGGCTGCAGGAATGCAGCCAAAAGAGAAGAAATTATTGTTTTTGCAGCCTTTATGGGTGTAAAAGCAATCAGCGTAAAAAAAAAAAAATCTCCATTACCCCCCCACAAGTAGTACAGTGTTGCTATGGTGATACTGTACTGGTAGGGTGACAGCATGTAAAAAAAAAAAAAAAAAACTCAAATAATAATAATATTTAAAAAAAATGTTGAAAAATATAATTATTATAATTTTTTAGAAACTGATTTGGGTTATTTGTTTTTACCAAAAAGATAGAGGAGTACGTTTTGGCCAAGATTTACAAAGATTATTTATTTGTAACACTCTATAAGAAAAACACTTTATCAAAAGTTTTGGTCTTTTTTTCATTTATATAACAAAAAATAATAAAAGTGGTGAATAAATATCACCAAAAGAAAGTTTTATCTGTCTCAAAAAAAAACAAAAAAAAACAAAACCTTCACCATTACAGGAGTGAGCTCTCAAACATGGAGTAGCTGCGTCAGAGGAGAGAAAGTGCAGGTGAGGAGGGTTTATTCAGAGTAAGAGCCCGCTCCTGTGAGGGTGAATAGTATTAACTGGACCTCTTTAACAACATCCTAGCAACATCCTGGGCCATTTACGTGCCTCATGAAGCCTGGCCTAAAAACTCCCAGGATATTGCTAGGACCTCACTTAGCAATGTCCTAACAACATCCTGGGAGTTTTCAGGTCAGGCTTCATGATATACGTAAATGGCCTACAACTATAGGAAGGGTATTATTCACCTTTAGTCAAAGCTGCACAGTTTGTTTTTCTTCTACAGATGCCCCATATCTGCATAGGTAGTGTTTTGGTAAAGGTGAAGCAATCTTTTAAAGAATATTTTAAAGTGTAACTGATCTGTTTAAATCATCTAAATACATTCCATGGTTCATCAAAACAAAAGACTGATCTGTATTTTAAATAGCAGCCACAGCTTGAATAAAAAGCCTGTCCCCCCACCAGCATTCTGTAGGTTGCTATAGGAAATAGCATCAGCTAACAGAGCTTGCCTTAGACTTTTTATTTTATTTTATGATTTCCTCTTTATGTGTTAGTGTGCTGAGCACGTCATCAAATCCACAATGTTATTCTGTTACATTTTAGTACACTAGTAAAAGGGATCCAAAAAAGACTCCTTGCTAACTCATGAGTACATTCTACATGCTGTTTGGTGCACATACTCTTCACCCCTTGCTCAATGAAGGGCCCAATTGGAATTCTACACAGGGAATTACTGGGTGGAGTTTGCTGCCATAATGACATCATTGACCCACTTAAAATGTAAACCTAAATCACAAAAATTTCACATAAGATTTAATATTTAAATTTAATTTCAAAAGTGATTTTCAATTTTTTTCTGCTACTTTTATTAAAATAATACCTAGTGATCCTGCCATAAAGGCCCTTGTTCAGGCACTCGTTAAGGGCTGACAGCTCTCTGTCCGATTTGGTGCTTCTGCATCGTCACCGCGTGGATGGGTGCAGCAACAGTGAACACACTGAGTCTGGTTGTAATTACCAAAACTTGTATTGAAGGAATGGTTCAGAAGATACAAACAGCCCTGTGGGAAGGCACCCAGGTGGGAACACTCACGGTCTTGTGCACTACCGTAAAGTAGAACAGGTTCTGGGGGCAGAATGCAACCTGACCAGTCTGAGCCCAATGGGGAGAATTCCTAGGAGAGATAGTATGTCCCTATCCTGTCCCTACTCATCTGGAATGTTTCCCTACCGGTGTCCACTTTCCCTGACAAACGGGTAACCTGTCCCTAAGCTGTCCACTTGCAAACTGCATGCCAAGCCTGGGTCTCTAAGAGACTTTCCCAGGCCCAAGATGGCCACCAGAGTCACATGGGATAGCGAAATCCAACTGGATCGCCTCCCAGTGACCAAGACAACCACAGAGGAATAATTTCCTTCTGACCATCTCTCCCTCTGCACAGCCCGAGCGCAACCTACACTACACCCGCCTACACTCCCCCCCCCCCCCCCCCCTCCTCAACAAATGCTGTCCTTGGCATCGCAATACAGTAAGAGCAACATGAAAACTGCAAAAGACATGATTAAAGTGGTTCTAAAGCCTTACCTTTTTCTTTAACTTTGTATGTATTAAAGCAGAGCTCCGTCCAAAAGGGGAAGTTCTGCTTTAAGGCTTTGTCCCCTGCGCCTCATTAAGGATTGGCACCTTTGGGGAGCGGGTACCCAAATTTGACAGGTACCCGTTCCCACTTCTGCAGCAATCACCTATGGTGATTGGAAGAGGAAGTTGTCCTCCCCCCTCCCTCTTCGTAGTCTTCTGGGACGCGTGACAGATCCCAGAAGACTTCGGGGCCATTCATAAAGCTCAGTGCTACTCGCGCATGCGCAGTAAGCACGCGCAAGCTGTCACAGCCGGGTGCCCAAACTGGAGATGCTGGCGCCGGGGAGAGAAGATGGTCAGTGAGGGACAAGTGTCTGTATTGTAAAAGTCAGCAGCTACAGTTTTTGTGGCTTCTGACTTTTAGTTTTTTAATTTCACCTGGAACTCTTTAAAGCAAAGCTCCACCCAAAAGGGGAAGTTGAAGGACTGGTCCATTAAGGGTTGGCACCTTTGGGGAGTGGGGAGGTACTCACTCCCCCTTCCACTGCTATCACCTAGGCAATCAGAAGCAGAAGTTGTCCTTCCCCCCCCTCCCTCCCTGTAGTCCTCTGGAACACGTGACAGGTCCCAGAAGACTACAAAACCATTCACAAAATGCAGCACTACTCATGCATGCAGTGAGCACCCAGCTGTGAATCCACAAGCTGTCACTGTCGGGTGCTCACACTGAAGATGCCGGAGCCAGGACCACAAGACGCAGGTGAAATGGGCTGTGGTGAGTACATCATGGAACGGAAGTTCAGGTAAGTGTCTATTTTTCAAAAGTCAGCAGCTACAGTTTTTGTAGCTGCTGCCTGTTAATTTTTATTTTTTTTATTTTCACTGGAATTCCACTTAAAGGAAAAAAAACATTATGTGCTGCAGAATCCTCCTAGCCCCTCCTCCATCCTTCTTCTTTCCTGAACCCAATTTGATTGCCGCTGTCTCCCTCAATGGGAAGATTAATAGCAGTCAATTGCTGTGATGAGGAAGCAGGGGGTGGGGCTAAGTCGCCTGGTCTGTGTCAATAAACGCAAACAGGGTGGCTCAGGAGCGGGCCCACACAGGTGCCACCATGGAAAGAAGCTTTCCAGGGGGGCACTCACCGAAGTTAAGGAGCTTGGAGTGCCAGTGGGGGGACCCAAGAAGAGGAGGATTGTGGTAAGTACACCATGTTTGTTATTTTAATTTACATTTTTTTTTTAAAAACTGAAGGTTTAATGTTATTTTAAGGTAAATCAGTGAAAACAAGTTCAAACAACATAGTCAGAATATTTTGCAGGAAGCTGCCCACAGTTGGACCAAAAAAGGTCTTCAGTAGAGTCACGTTCAAAGAACAAAAGGTATACCCGTCGGGCAAACAATCCAGATCAATCCACAACAGGTGCAGGCTCTGGCTCGCCACCACAAACGATGCAATAGGAAGAAGGGTCAGCTGCACACCGGAGGATAGATGGATATAGTGTATATTTATTGATCCATAGGACACACAAAACACCAGGACATGAACACAGGACCTGTTAACACGATCTCATGCTTAATCATAGCTAATCAGGTTATAATTAAGCACAAGATCATGTAAAACGCATTAACAGGTCCTGTGTTCATGTCCTGCTGTTGTGTGTCCTTTCATCTATCCTTCAGTGTGCGGCTGACCCTTCTTCCAGTAGAGTCATGTTGCAAGGGTTTGTCTTCTAGTTGTGGCTCTGGAGCTGCAGGTGGATGGGAGTTGTTTGTGATTTCCATACCCTCCTCACCTGGGCCCCACCCTGCAGACTGAAGAGCAAGAATTGAGTGATCAGCTGCGTTTGATCGCTCAGTTCTCAGTCTTAGAAGTGGAGGAGGACAGATGCAGCATCCACCTAGGTGAGCATGCAGGTTTGCTTTTTTTAATACAAAATTTCTCTTTTAATAAATCTTAATGGCATCCAGTTAGGGTGCACTGTTATGTGAAATGCGTTATTCAGTTGTACTCTATATGGACAATGATGTCAATGTGGTGGCGTTTCAAAGGTCCATAATCCCCTGCACCCTCTATCAGTAAATAAAAGCATAACATCAGCAGTGGACAGCCTGTGCGGCATGATGGGTTCCAAGAGGTAAATTGAACCTGTTTCAGATTTAAGAAGCAGAATAATTCACCTGGTAGAAAATCAATATCTGTTATTTGCAGATTGTCCCAGTCCAGAACAAGTCTTTGCTCGTCCCTGGTTTGGAACTATCCAAAAATCATAAATGTTTAACTTGCATTATGCAAATTCTTTTTTATGTGTGATTGTTACATTATAAACAATGTTAGATTTGTATTACCTAAAATTTAAAAAAAAAAAATCTTGTTCCATAT